CAAGTAGAACCTAGCAATCTTGACAAAAACAGCGAGAAAAATCCACAACTCCAATGGAAAACAACAAAATAGTAGTTTTTCTATTACGATAACCAAAGATAACGGAAGGAAAAACACCAAGATACAGTCGATCTTCAATTCAAGAGGAGGATCTTTCTCTCCCAATCCCTAGACGCCGATAGAGCCAAAGACACCAAACTCTAAGACGGAAAATGGCCACAATAATCATACATAATCCTAATCCTTTTATTATTCTCCTACTTAAAACATATACCAATCAACTAACCCGAGCAGCCCCCCTCCTTCCTAATTACTCTTCCTAGTGGGCCCCACCCATAGCTTTGACAGCAAACCTAGTCCGCCTCTTATAGAATTGAACCAACCCCTCCAAGAGGGACCGGTCTAACATACTCTTGTCTCTTTGTTTAACTAACTTATACGTATATCTTTCGTCCTCCTTAGTATCTAATCTATTATATAAATCATTAAAAGATAAAATCTTTATATATTTCTCAATTATTAGGATTTTTACAGCTAAACCGATTTTTATAACAAATGTTCTTATTTGTTATCTTTACCTGCACATTATTGCTACTACAATGAACTATTTTTACTATTAGTAGTTGTTTCATTTGATACTCTAAGCACACTTTTTGCAACATTTTTAATATCACTAACTAATTTTTCCTACATAACATTAGCATCCTCATGCACATACAAAATCTTAAGTTCCAGAATCTTACTCTAAAAAATATTTTTTGTTAATATTCTTTAAATGCCCCCATTTAATCCTAGAAGAATAAATTACTTTATTTTTAATATTATGCCCCTTCATCTTAAAGTCTAAAACTAATAAGCGATGTTAGATACATAAACTTTCACTCGGAATAACTTTACAATCTTTGCAATCTAAATAATTTATTTTTCTTATAAGAGAATAATCAATCTGAGTTTTACCACATTCATTCTTAAAATTGATGAGATTCTTATCTCTTTTCTTAAATAAGATATTAACAATTACAAAATCATAAGTTAAAAAAATCTAATATGGTCTTATCACCTTCATTAGTCGCTCCAAAGTTATAGCCATCATAAATGATTTTAAAATCATCTACCTATCTACCAAAATGTCCATTTAAATCTTCACCAATAAAAACTCTTTCTTCGAGAGGTATTATTTGTATTAATTCTTTTAGATCATTCCAAAATTTGAATTTTGAATATATATCCAATCCTACTTGAGAAGCATGAGCGCTTATAATATTGATAATCTTAACAACAACAACAACAAATATTTAAAACAATAATTATATCTCCAATTCTATTAATTTTAACAAGATTATCCTTCAAACTCTTATCTATAATTACACATATATCATTTTCTAGTACGACTCCTACCAGAATATCATAGATTAAATCCTAAACTATCAATCTTCTTAGCCTTCTTTCCAACTCATTTAGTTTCTTGAATGCAAAGAATATTAATATTCCTATGGATCATAATATATATTAATTTTATTAATATGTAAGAGAACCTATATTTCAAATTCCTATCCTAATTTTAGGATAATGGACTAGCTTGTTTGCTCATATTCGTCCATAATGTAAGAACCATTGCGTATTTAACACTGTACCCGGGCACTGATGCAGTGTCTCTTGCTAACTTGTCATTATATTCATGCCATACAACGTGTCGCTTCTAGGGAACATCCTAGCATTAACAAAATGTATTAAAGGATTCATGTTATGATTATTCGACAAGTTTTATGCTGGTTGTCGGCTACCTAACGCAACCCTCCACTTTTCTCATCCAGGACTTGGGACCTGACAATGACAGTGTTTTATGAAACATTTGAGAGCATATATTAAATTCTATGATGATGAAGGCTCACGCCATAAAAATATAAACTTATATATATTTCAAATTTGACAAAATCTCAATCATGCACATAAACCATACGCCAAACAATTTAGATGAAGTGCAAAAATTGAAATCACCAATTTGACAAGGAGGCCTCACAACGATACTAGAAAAAGCATCCTTCAGAAGTTATTTTCAAGACTTGCAAAGCGCTTAAAGAATCCCATACAACAATAAATATAAGTTGGAGGCCTAAAATATAGCCTCCTATGTATAGCAAACAAGGTTTAAAAATAATTTCTTAGAAACTTCCAAGATCTTTCCTAAAATTGGAAGTTCTATGTTAGACCGGTCTAGTTGGTCCACACGGGACCGACTCACGTGAAATAGAGGCGAAATGCCTCTGCAGCTCTGTACGCACCGCACGAACCGCCCAGTTCAAAGTAGTGGATTAGGAAGGTTTAAGGAAAAAATTAGGAGGGAAATTTGAATGTAGGGATTGTTTAGAGATTTCTTTTTTGGATTGTATGCATTAAATAGCTTGTTTTCCTAGGGTTATGATATCTCGAATTTGGCTAAAATTGGATATCTCTTAGGTTTAGGTTTTTGGGCTCTAGCGGCGTCTAGAGATATCCTCCTCACGAATAGATGATTAATTGTATCTTGGTATTTTTCATTTCTATTTCTTCAAATAATACAAATTACCTATTGTTTTTCTAGTTTTTGTGTGGATTTTTGTGGAGAATTCTCGCTGTTTTCAAAATATTGCTAGGAAATTCTTGAGATCTTCATGTGTTTCCTATCAAATTGTTATCAAAGCAATTTCTTGGGCTAAAATAAAAGTCTTACTCACTGATTTCTGCTGCGTTTTCATCTCTAATCTTGTTGTTTTTGCTATTTGGGAGGCCAGATTCATGTCAAACTTGTAGATCTTTGTTATTGGAGCCTAAATCCAGGTTCTCATGTCTAGAAGAAAGGTGGAAGTATTGGAAGGGGAGATTGAACAAATGAAATATAAAATTTCAGATCTCCAAACTCAAGTTTCAGATATAAAAAAATGATATTTCAGCTATCTATGATATGTTCAATTCAAAAATTTCCATTCTGAAGGTGATGAAAGTGTTCAAGGGCGGGCCATACTAAAATATCGTTGTCAGAGGTGAGGGAAGGCGCCGATAGCCAAGGAAGTGGAGAAAATCCTAAGCCGATCAAATGAAGGGAAGATCAAGAGGAGGGTGTCTTTTCCCACCTTTCGGACATGGTGGGTTTTGGGAGGGGAGTATTGTTTGACCGTTCTATTGGACCGGTCCACACGGGGCCAGCTCGTGTGAAATAAAGGCGGAACGCCTCCGCTTCCTTGTACGCACCGCGCGAACCGCCCAATTCAAAGGAGTGGATAAGGAATGCTTTAGGAAAATTTTAGGAGGGAAATTTGAATGTAGGTACTGCTTAGAGATTTCCTTTTGGATTGCATGCATTAAATAGTTTGTTTTCCTGGGTTATGGCATCTTGAATTTGACTGAAATTTATGATCTCTTATGTTTAGGTTTTTGGGCTCTAGCGGCATCTAGAGATTTGGAAGAGATAGATCCTCCTCTCGAATAGAGGATCAATTGTATCTTGATATTTTCCGTTTCTATTTCATCAAATAATACAAATTGTCTACTATTTTCCTAGTTTTCGTGGAGAATTCTCACTGTTTTCCAAAGATTGCTAAGAAATTATTGAGACCTTCAAGTGTTCCTATCATTCTAATTCAACATACTTGGCCTCTAGCAAGAACAAGAAGTTTCCAATTCCAAAATAAGGAAGAAATGTTCCCGCTAGAACTGAATATAAGGAAGCCAACAATTGATTTTGCCACAGTAGGTATGCTGAGTGAGGAAGGAAACCTCCCAACCAACTAATGCTACAATAAAAGTTTGCAAAAGGCAACTAGCAAGTACTTGAAACTCTAAAGCGCAAGTCCAACTACAATGCCCAAATCGGAATGTGCTATAGGAGGCAACAGAGATTAGTAAGACATAACAAAGCCGTCATCAATAGCAAATCAATTGCAAGAGGAAAACAAAAGCAACACTTCTACACATTTTGCATGAGAGAAAACTCACCTAACCCGCTTAACACAGTTCACAACAACAATGCAAACTGGGAAGGGATAAATCTGGTGGCAACAGTAGTCATTGGGAAAATGGTGAAGCAACAATAATCAAGCATTTTACATCTTAAAATAAAAAATCTGAGTACCAAAAAAAGAACTGAAAGTACTGTTCTAGGGACTTAGATTAGAGCTGAATCAAAAGAACTTATAACAGAAAAAAAAAAAAAAAAAAAGAGAGAGAACTGAAAGTACTGTTCTAGGGACTTAGATTAGAGCTGAATCAAAAGAACTTATAACAGTAAACTAAACCTAACGAGGAACACATCTGCTCAATTGGTTCATCTTCATACGCATGATTTATATTGAAATGAACTACAAAATAGAAACTAAGACGTGGAGACAATTAAAATAATATTAACACAGTTTGTATTTTCAATGAATAAAGATTTGTATACTTGCATCATCTTGACCCGCTTGAGGTTTTTTTTTGGTCCTACTACTTACCCCTTCTCTCTACCTCTCTGGTTCCCCTCCTATACTATATTCATCTATTTCTGCTGCAGCGGCCACTTCTGTATCTGGTGATGGAACTCATGGGATGGGGTGTGTATGGTGAAAATACAGGCCAGGTTATGCTTGGAAAGTTGGATCAGAGTTTTGAATTTTGAATGTGCAAGGGTTTGCTGTTGTTTACAGTTTTTTTGGATGGATACTTGATCATGAGGTTTCTTTGGATAGATGCTTGGTCATAGGGTTGCTTTGTTTTATTTATGGAGTCGCACCGTACAGAGAAGGATCATGCTACTGGTGGTGATAGATGAATTTACCAGCACCTGTCCCCTTATTTTCCAAAAATAAATTACTTTGTTTGTATAATTTCAACATGCCAGAGTCTTGCATTTTATTTATTTCCTTAACTTTTTTTTGAATCGTAATGAATGAAGATGGTCATTGTATAATCTGTGCTCAGTGCCTGTTGTATATGTTGATCACATTGTATAAAGTTGCTTTTTACATTATTAATTGTGATTATTTCAGGCAAAAGGAGCATCCATTGGTGATGTTTATATGGCATCTGATGTTGCATTCCACGACAGAAGAATACCAATTCCTGTAAGCTTTTGCAGTTGTTTGTTCTAAACACTTATTTTCTTGACACTTCTATTTCCTTCTGCATTCTTAAATGTTTGCATAGAATGGCTTTTCATCAATCTTGGTATTTTTGGTAGATCTATCATTAAATGATAATATCTGGAATTGTTGTAGTTGTATACTTTTCTTCTGTCGTGCGTCGTCTTCGGGTGTCAACTGCCGATTCTGATTGGTCTCTTCTGATTTGACTTTGAGCTGATCCCACTTAGATAAATTTGACGCTCTGATCGCAACGTCGCAGTCTGTTCGACGACGGTGATGTGGAAGCTAGTGCATTTCAACTTTAGCATTCGATGTGACTGGCAGTGCCATAGGGCTTTTGATCACTTTGAAGTGGGTGTAGATGAGGGACGGTCAGTGAGATAGGGAGATGTAGGGGAAGGTTAAGTTTAGGGTTAAGGATCAATGATCGTATTTTGAAGCCTGTGGCGGTGGATTTCCTGGGGTAGGTAGAGTTAAGGTTTTGGGTTTGCCAAGGAATAATGGAAGAAGAGAAAGTAATTAATGATAAGTGGGGGAGTATATCGACTTCAAGCATGGAAACACTTTTTTATTGTTGCATTTTATCACTGTAGCTAGGATATGGTGTACAAGTTGTTGGAGATTTGTGGAAAACGCAGCAATCTCCTATGAAAATTGCTCAATGTTTTCTTTTAGATAAGCGTTGCTATCCATAAAAAAGTATATAAAAATGTTAAAATCAAGGGTAGTTAAGTGTTGGGATTTCAAATTGAAGGGTTTGGGTTTTTTCTTAAGAGTTGCCATAAACCCTACATATTGTGATTCACATGATTAAAAAAAAAGGTTGAATTACTGTTTTCCATTGTGTTTCTACCTTCTATAATATGAAGTATATAATTATATATTGGCTATGGCCCTGGAGTGATTATTTGGGAGTAGGTTAATACGCAATACATAGGAAATTTCAATTGCTTAGCAACGATGGATTAAGAGAACTACTGCTATTCTTGATTGCTACCATCTTTTGATGCTTTTTGGGAAAGTACGAGGCAACATCGTCTATGTTTCATTTCTTTTTACCGAGATTGTTCTATTTATGTTATATGTGTGGTATTTAGAAATCAACAAGTGTATCTATTTCCATTTTCAAGAGTTTTATGGTTGAATAAATTGAATCCATACAGGTCTTTGATCAGTATGGTATTGGAGCTCGACGTTCTTTCTGCACACCTAATCTGTTGAAAGAAGTCGACTTGAAGGTAATTGAGAAGTACTTTTTCATACCGTTATGTTACTCTTTATTAATGAGATTCTCTTCATTATTTTTCTCAATACTTATTATAGGTCAAACTTGTGATTGTAAAATAATTACTGGCCGATTTATTGCCACAAAATTATTTTATTTGTTCAATAACATGATAATTTACTTTCCTTTTTTTTTTCAAAGAATTTATTAAAGCAAATATGATTAAGAAAACTTATTTAGTTTTCTAGCCAAATGCTATGCACATAAATTAGGCACAAATTGTTAGACGTGACGTACAAAATATTACTTGCCTTGGCTCAAATCGAAATCTGGAATGTTCACTTGTTTTCAAATGTTATATATATCTAGAGTATAAGATTGGTCCTTCTTCAAATTCATAGGTAGCATGGTTCAACCTGTAAATTTAAATTTTTTGAAGTTATTTATAACCCTTTTCTATGAGGAGGAATTAGGGGCAATACCACTACGCACTTACTCTGTGAATAGAAATGAGTAATCTATTGAAAGATTCGAAAGTTCATGAACAAGCTTATAATCTGCTTGTACCCGGTTGGTGAATGGCTGTAAATTTAAAATTTTTGAGGTTATTTGAAACACTTTTTCTAATGAGAGGAATTTAAACAATATTACTCAGCACTTTGTGATTAGAAATGAGTTACCTATTCAAAGATTCAATTCATGTAAAACTTGTAATCTGCTTATATGCGTGACAGGTGAATGCCATTTTAACTAGGGATAAGTTTAATGATGAATGGCATTATTATATTAATTTGAAAGTTCTAGCTAACTGACAAGTGTACGCCTTAGAAGGTTCTATAAAAGCAATTTATTATTGTTCAAGTTACTTTTTTATAAGTTAGGATAGAGAGGCATGACAAGACTTACTACTCACGAGTAATAAAAACTTGTTAAATGGGCATGCGAAGTGAGAGGACCAATGCAAAGAAAAGTCTACTATCTTAAAATACTAGTATAATTGCATGAACACAATTTGACATGATAAATTAAAATAAATGAATAAGAGCTTGATGAAAATAAGAAATTAATGTGTATTATAATTTTATTATATGAAAAAATTTGTTTATACATTTTCAAAAGAAAAATTGAAATTGGTTTAGTGGGCATCTACAATCTCCCACACATTCCATGTTTCCATGCCATGCCTTTCTATTTAGATGGTGCTAGTGTTTATGCACGTCCTAAAATTATTCATTTTATGTGTTAGTTGGGCAGGTTATCTACGGGTGATTCTTTGGATATGTCTCCATATGATGAGGGGGCAATTTTGGCAAATGACGCTGTTATCAAAGATATGGAAGTGAGTATTATTATTTTTTATTCTCATTATACATCATTAGTTGTAGTTTTTCATTAAATTTTTAATAATTAATGTATACGAAGGCTTATATTTTTGCATGCTTGCATGAACTTGAGTAGGTTTTTGGGCCTTAAGTGCATATGTAATATTGTGTTGCTATTGTTGACCTCTGAACAATACCCAAAGGAAAAGAAAATGAAATCATACCGTAGTTCTGCAGGATCCCCGAAATCCTGCTCTGTACCTCGTATCCGTCGAAAGACGTCCGTAAATCCTGCTGTGCTCGCGTCTCATCCCGGGATTTCTGCTTGAAACCTGCGACTCGCCTCGAACGAGCGCCCAAGTCGGCTTCAAATACCGACCCAAAGCCCCTTCATTCGGCTGCTCTCCCCGACTTCTTCCATTTGCACTCCAGCTTCCACGATATCTCTCCCTCACACTCCAAGCCGCCGACCTCACCTCAGCCAGATCCTGCCGAAGCCTCCCATCGCTGCTTCCCTCCGATCGACCCTTACCCGATCTCCTCTGCCTGTGCCGACTCCAACCCGATAGAGAGAGAGAAAAAACCTTACCCGACTCCTCCCTATGCCGACACCTTCACCATCTTCCCATCCCGTCCAACTCCAGCAAGCCGAAGCCTTGCCCGATCCCTGGATTTGCCCGATCCAACCTCCTCTCCAATCCACGGCCAAGCTCCGAGCTCCCCTTGTGTTGTTCAACCTTGCTCACCTCGACGACATTCCCTGTCTGTTGGATCGGAAGCCAGAACAGGAGATCGCTGGCTTGAAGGTAACTTCCTCCCTTTGCACGCTACTTCGGCCAAGTCCAGTAAGTCCTCTCAACAGAGGAAAAAGGGGATAAGGGTTATTTAATTAATATTAATGTTAATTAATTATAATTATTTTAGTTAATTATATTTATTATAATTAATTATATTAATATACGTATCTGATTGACGACTAGCCTTAATCGAAAGTTCTCTCTCGTGATCGGGAGGGGTAATTAACTATAGGGGCTTGCGCCTATAGGAAACTAGAACTCAGATCATAAAGTCCTCACAAAATGAGGGCGAAATCTCTGGGTAGTGTCTTATCTACAAACCCATCTGCCTTCCAAAATTTACCTCGGAACTTAGTTCGTTAAAACTCCCTCGCCGAAAAAGAAAAGCGCGACGGGGAGATCGGGGCCGAATTTTCGGAGCCCACAGCTATGTGGCTCTAATTCCATTCCTTTATCTGCATTTGGAAATAAAATTCATCAATCATGCGAGTTTTACTAACGAGATGTTTGGTTTGCTTAAAAAGGATTGCAGAGTAAAGGGAATATAGTGTAAAATAATTGCAGTGTACTTGAAAAATTTTAGAGTTATTTGGAGTGTAAAAAAAATGCAAGAAATTATTTTTTGGAGCAGAATGAATTCACTATAAAGTAGCGGAAAATGTAGTTTGCGGTAGTAGTGACAGCCAGTGACTCTCAACTGGCAGTGGTTGGCATTGGCCAATGGTTGTTGGCATGTGGCCTTGCGACGAGTGGCCACAAGCGATGTTGCAATCATAGCACGCACGATGTATTTAGAATTCACTTAAATCAGGTGAATTCTTAATACATTAATGGGTTATTTGATTGACTGCATTTCAAGTGTAAAATAAATGCAATGGTTTTGAAAATTTTGTCATTTGGATAACAATGTTTTAATGCAATGTATTTTGGGTGTGTATTTGGAAATCACTCTCTAATTCTTTTTTAGTATATTTATAATTTGCTTGTTTTGAGTGAACTCCAAATACACACCTCAGGTAATAATGATGCTGGTCGGTAGCACGCTGTCACTGCCACTGTCACCATGCTCGGCATAAGCTATTACAACTATTGTCTGTTGCTATTGCTTGCTGCCGCTCATGCCCTCCGCTCATTTCTATCTTCTGTCGTTGGCGGTGCCTATCATTGGTCACTTTTGATCAACTATTGCTCTAAATGTACTATTTTTTACTTTCATTTTCCATCAACCAAAAAAAGAAAAAAAATCTTGAATTTGTAGTGGACTCAACAAATTTACACAAGTATTTTCAATACACTATTTTTACTTGGCACTCATTCCGTTTAATTTATATATTTCTTTTGTTTGGATCAAACAACCCCTAAAATGAACTGAATGGTGAATTATGAATACATCAACTAGTTAAAAAAAATGAATACATCAACTAGTTATTTTGCTTTTTTATTCAACCACACAAAAAATTTCAAAACCCCTATTTTTCTTATAGTTTGCATTCATTTTCCAGCAAACCAAACATCCCTTGGATGAATTCAAAGTAAGCTAATTGGCGAGTTCATTTTTTCCTTTAGGTAGTCCATCGCAGACAACAACATAGTTCACTAATAATTTGTTAAATTTATCTACTTTACTCATACATTCGAACATATTTTTTTTCTATATTCTATAATATTTTTTCGTACACTAGTATATTTCAAGAATATAACGATTGCAATTAATGGAGTTCCATAATGCATATCTTAAATTAATTTTTTTGAAGTGCTTCAGGTCCACTTATAAATGCTGATTAGGAAGCTTCTTAGGATTTGGATTTATGGAGGAACTAAAGAAAAAAATGTTTGGTTCTATTTGATTCAAAAATTTTTGGATAAAATTGGAGTTTGCTTCTATCTACCAAATTGAGTGAATTTGAACAATACACTTCCAAATTGAGGTAATTCAGAGAGAATATAAGCTACAAAACTGAACCACTTAAGCTTCCCGTATCTGTATTTTTATTTCTCTTATATTTCCCTTTATAATCTTCTTCATTTTAGCCCTCTATAAGAATTAACTCCACATGATAACTCCATCTTCTCTCTCTTTTAATGTCATATGATCCATATATTTCCCATCAATATGATGACAATGTTTTACCGTTCACAAAAGAAGTGATCCTAGGAAGCTATGTGGCATGATAACAAGAAAGAATTGGCCTTGACTGCCTTAGTCTTTGTCCCGACCCATAATTATTGGAAGCGCCTTAAACCTTAAAGCAAACTGAAGCTCAATGAATGCTCAAGTTAGGTTTTTTATTAAAGAAGTGATCCTAGGAAGCTATGCGGCATGATAACAAGAAAGAATTGGCCTTGACTGCCTTAGTTTTTGTCACGACCGATAATTATTGGAAGCCGCCTTAAACCTTGAAGCAAACTGAAGCTCAATGAATGCTCAAGTTAGGGTTCTTATTATCCTGGTGGTGGCCTTTCTCTTCCACATAGATTTTGATCCTCCTTTGTTTCTCCGTGATTGCATATTTGCACCTCTTCGCCTTATTTCTTTGCTCATGTACCTCTCGGTATTCGCTTCTCGGAGAGTTGCAGAGATGAGGATGCTTAGGTGGATGAGTGGCTTGACCCTTAGAGATAGGATATGAAATAACCATATACGTGAAAAGGTTGGGGTAGCTCCAGTGGAAGATAAGATTAGAGAGAGTCACCTTAGATGGTTTGGTCACATTAAACGGAGGCATTTCGATGACCCGGTTAGGAAAGTTGAGGTACTAGATTTGACTTATGTTAAGAAAGGTAGAGATAGACCTAAAAAGACTTGGTTAGAAAATATTATAAATTATCTTTCTTTATTAGATTTAAATGAAAATTTGAATTTTAACCGAATACAATGGCGAAAAAGGAGTCATGTAGCCGACCCCACGTAGTGGGACAATGGCTTGTTGTTGTTGTTGTTGTTGTTGTGCTAAAATCACTAAAGTCAATTGTATTTTCACATTCTTCATTTAAAAATTTAGCAAAATATCTCATCTACCTTTGTTGAATATCATCTTATAAGAAAAGTACTTTTTGATCTTTATCCTTAATACACTTCATTTGAACTAAATCTTTACTACTATCTCTTTGTTTGGGTAACTTGTATATATATCTTGCTTCCTCCTTAGTATCTAATATATTATATAAATCATTAAAAGCTAAGCTCTTTGCATCATAAATAGCTTTCTTTAATTCCTTACGTGCCTCTTTATAACTTTCCTAATTATCAGAATTTTTACATCTAAACCAACTTTTATAACAAATCTTCTTATTTTTTATCTTTTCTTGCACATTAGGATTCCACCACCAAGTATTTTTACTATTAGGAGTTTTTCCCTTCAAAACTTCATGCATATTTTTTGCAATATATTCTTAATATAATTAGTCACTTTGTCCCATATAATATTAGCATTCTCATGTACAGATAAAATCTTAAGATCTAAAATCTTACTCTCAAAAATATTTTTGTTAATATTCTTTAAATGCCCCCATCTAATCCTAGAAAACCGTTTTACTTTATTTTTTATTTTCTGCTCATTTATCTTAAAATTCAAAACTAATAATCGATATTGGGTACATAAATTTTCACTCGGAATAACTTTACAATTTTTTGCAATCTAAATGATCTAATTTTTCTATAAGAAAATAATCAACCTGTATTTTATTATATCCATTTTTATAAGTTATAAGATGCTCAACTTTTTTCTTAAATAAGGTATTAGTTATTAAGAAATCATAAGCTAAAGAAAAATCTAATATGATTTTACCACCATTATTTGTCATTCCAAACTCATGGCCCCCATAAATACTTTTAAAATCATCTACCTCTCTACCAACATGTTTATTTAAATCTCCTCCAATAAAAACTCTCAAGAGGTATCTTTTGTATTGATTCTTCTAAATCATTCCAAAATTTTAATTTTGAACTCATATTCAAACCTACTTGAGGAGCATAAGTATTTATAATATTAACAATCTTAGCATCAACGATAATCTTTAAAGCTATAATTCTATCTCCAATTATGTTAATTTTTATAACATTATCCTTCAAACTCTTATCTATAATCACACATATACCATTTCTTGTACGACTCCTACCCGAATACCATAGTTTATATCCTAAACTATCAATTTTCTTAACCTTCTCTCCAACCCATTTAGTTTCCTGAATTCATAGAATATTTATCTTCCTATGAATC